CCCCAAAACCCCAAAACCCCAAAACCCCAAAACCCCAAAACCCCATGACACGAAATATTGATTGAATTCATTAACTATGTTTTTGATTTACCTTGCCAGGATGTCACAATCAGCTTCTGTAAGCAAGTTATAGCTTCCTTCTTAATCTCAGCACTATCAGACTTCTGCATGACTTCATATATAACTGATTTTATACCAATATTGTCCAGATAGCTTCTTCCGAATGGGAAATACTTGGCAAATTCTCCGAGATCGTACAAAGCGACTGCTACAGTTCTCTCATTCTCCATCTCTAAGAGGCACATGAGATCCTTAATCAAATCCAGGTTATCTTTCTCATGGAAATGGATAAAGTTTTCTTGCCAGAATCTCTCTGTATGTACTGGCCCCCATCTCAAGGTCTTCAGGTGAATCTCTTTTCTAAACTTGTCAATAGATGTGAACTCTTCATAGTTAGAATCGAAGATTCCCCATAATTTCTCTAGTAGATTCTTAATATCTTCATCTACCCAGTGTCTTTGTTGAAGTTTTTGAATCAATTCAAGTCCATTGAGATCACTCATAATCTCTAGACATAGTTTATAGTTTGTTAGGTTCTCCATGAGCAAGAGGGTGATCCTAACGACCTTCTCTTTGTTGAAGAAATCAAGAATCTTAATACTTTTCTCGATTAAGTCAAGGTCTGGATTCTCAAAATATTTTAGAGCAAAGTCATGGTAAGACAAGACCCATAAGGAGACAAGTACATTATAGGCGATCTGATAGTCGCTGAGGCACTGATTGTCTAGCATCTCAATGAGCTTATTGATTCCACTCAACTCAACATATTCTTGAGCAAGTTCATTAATTTTAACCAAATATCAAATAGAGAATGTGTAAGCGTTTGCGCTAATTCTTTTTGGATCAAATCCGTATATCCAATTCATGAAGTCAATTGCATGATCTTTGCAGTGATCAAATCCGGCTGCTTCAATAAGCATGGACAAGATCCTTGCAGCTGCATTCCTATTATAGTTCTTACTATCATTGTTAGAGATCAGGAAGTTTAATAAAATTGCAATACAATCCATTTTCCTACTCTCTTTAAAACTATTTTGGATAGCAGCAATGTTTGCGATCCTGTTTCTGTTCTCTTCCAGCATTCCATCGATATAAAGTAAGGCCCAAGTGATTAGCTTCTCGTCTCCATGGATCTTGTTAACAATCTCAAAGAGAGTCCTGATGAATTGCTCTGAACTATGTTTGTCATCAAGTTTATCTTTCTGCTCATCGACTGGTAAAGACAGCAACATTGAAATGGTCGAAGCAGCTCCTTTTGTTAGGGCTCCATCGTTCTCGTACTTCTGTAAAGAAGGTGTATAACCTGCATATGTAGCCTTTTCTTTAGGGAATAGGCTAAACAGTGAAGCATAATTAATGATTTGCTCAGAACTCTTCTCCATATTATTAAAGATTTATATTATTTCTACTTATCTCTTTATTGTCGGGGTTTTGGGGTTTTGGGGTTTTGGGGTTTTGGGGTTTTGGGGTTTTGGGG